CTATTAATCAAAGGGTAACTGAACAAGCTAAGGGATTAAAAATGACTTTTTGAAACTATTTAAGGGGAAAATTGTGAAATCTTTACCATTAAGGCCATTATCAGCTTGTTGTTTTCTTGTCTTGCTTTGCTTATTACTTTTCTTCCTTCCTACCAACCAGACATCTGAAATGTCTGGATGTTAATACAGGAAGAATGAGCAAGAGGAGCTGAAAGTCTTAATATGCAATTGGCATTACGACTTAATTGACGTAATGAAGACTTGTGGGATAACTTCTCTGAGTATAATATTACTATAATAGGAAGGGCAGATAAGAGAAAGATGTGTTGTTCTATAAATCAGATGTGTATGTGTGGTCTGGAACTCAGAATGCAGAAGCAATGGGATGTGCTGAAAGTCCATAAATGGTGTTTAAAGGAGGAAAAAAATCACTGCTGTGTTGGTGCACTGCACCCTACCAAACCTGGAATAGCAGGTCTGTGCTTTTGTGAGCAATTACAGTTTCACTCAAAGCACTGCAAATTGTGGTAGGAAGGATTTCCCAGAAATCTTTTGAGAAAGGAATATAGCAAAGCAGTTAACATCAAATTCCTGATGTTTTTGTTACAGCTTCCCATTATTGAAAGCTAAAGATACAAGTTGGAAGAATTCTGTCTAAGCAGTGGGATTTTCTTGAGAATGTGAAAATGGGGCGTAACATGTCAAAGTGATGGAGTTATTGTGCTTTTAAGGAAAAGAGAGAGAATAGCTAAACAGAAGCAGTGAACTTTAAATAGCCAGACTTCAGTGCTGTTGGCCATTGCATCTCCTGGGAGGCAAGTTCAAGGAAAAGCAAGTTATGGCAGTTTACCAAACAAATGAGGGCAAGAGCTGAAATGTGAATTAATAGTGATCATAGCAAACAGGGACTTGAAAATACATGGCTCAATGTATGTTATCCCCCAAATGCACGTGTCAGTAGCGGTGTAACCTGGTGTTGCACAGGACAGGAAGGTACAGCATTGGGTCAATGTGAACACCTGGCATTTCTTTAAATTTGAAGAAAATATTCCCTGTGTTTTATATGTTCTTGTCTATGTTGAAGACACTGTGGAAGGAGTGTTTGTGGAAGAATTGTTTGAAAGCAGGAACTGAGAGGAAAACTAGGGCCTAACACAGCTCTGGCATTACAGAGGCCTGCTTGGGGTGCTACACAGTTGCCACTTCCAGGATGGTTGGTATGCACAGACTCTGCTCCTCCACGGTACCTCCATCCCAAAAGTTACCCGCCTCCGAGGTACGACCACCCCTCACTGAGCATGCGCTCTAGATTTTCGGTTGACTGTGCCTTTAAATGAAAGCGAGAAACTTTTTCACCAATCAATAACAATATTAAGTATGACTCTAGTCACTCAAGCTCCACCTGAATGTAAAGAAAAGTATAAAAGGTGAACTAAGGATGAAAAGTCTGGAGGGGAAGAAACCATCGTAACTCCTGGGTCAGTCGACAGGCTGAGCCCCCTTCCCTCCCCTCGCGCTGGGACGCTGCCTGAAGAGACTAAGAAGTGAGAGGGAAGAATCCATCATAAATTCTGGATCAGTTGATGCCCTGATCCCCCCTTTCCTCCCCTCGCGTCAGGATGCCGCCTGAGGAGACTCGAGACTGAGAGCCCTCTCCCATCTTCTGGGGTGAGTGATGATTGCACATTTGTACATCAGAGCTAGCTAAAACCCCACGCTCTAGTAGAGAAGTTCCTGTACTGACATCTGAAACCTGCTTTGTAAATGTTGCATTTGAATAAATCATACTGTTTGTGAACTTGACTACTTGCCTGGGGGGAGGCGATCGGACCTACAGTTGACAGACTGTTCGTGAATCCGATACTGCCAGAGTCGAGCTTATAGTTGATTACACTATTTGGGAACTCGATTCGCTCCTAGGAAGGCGATCGGACCTACGGTCCACGGACTGTTCGTGAATCCGATACTTTTTTTTGATATCTCCTTCCCCCCCACCACCACCACCACTACCACTACGGCTTTCAAACTGCAACATTTTCAACACAGACACTTTACTGTCACCTTTTTGAAGTATTTTAGCTGTTTCTGAGTCGACATGCATATTTATATCCTTTAAATTGCGAAGCCAGAAATATTTGCACTAAGAAATGCTTTTCTTGGATTTAAATATGCATGTATTTTAAATTTATCTATAAATTACAGCAGTTAGAGAACAGCTTCACTTTCCCCTCAGGTATACTCTCTCCTTTGTGCTCTTTTAGTTTTCCATAATAGTATATACAATAAAGTTGAATTAAACCTTATCACTTAAGTTGGTTTTTGAAATTACATGGACTTGTTAAGAAAGTGGAAAAAATGCCCCAAAGTTCTAACTTTAAGTTACTAGAAGGTATTTGGTTTCCATTTTCCAATAATATCTTCCTAATTTTTGTTTATATTTTGTGGCTGGTGAGTGGATTTGTTTTGGGGAGAGAGAAATAAAACAAAGAAAAATTTCTTCCTAGCCAGTTCTTAGGAGCTCATGTTTAACATTTCTTTTACTGTAGAACTACATTTTTATTTTTATTTATTTTTAAGATTTTATTATTATTTTTAAGAGTTCAGATTATTAGCATGGTAATCTTATGGCCTGGGAGGAAACAAGGATATAATGAATATTTTTCTCTTGATTGTTAAAGCAAATATGTCATATAAACTGTATGTTTTGTGACAGAAGTAGCATAATGAAAACGTTTTTAGCATGTAATGTAGATAATTTATGAAAATATTTTCTTCTGTATTAGATGGTATCAGGTGCTATATCATCCTCATGTGTTTCTTTGGGCTGTGAATTAAACCCCTGCTAGGTATAAGTGTTGGTGTTTTCTTTTCTTTTCTCTTTTTCCTGTCCTCTTTTTAAGTATCTGTCGTAGTCACGTAAATTATTTTAGTTCACTAAGATTAAGTGATTGTAGTCATGTAAATAATCACATCCTAATCAAATAGTGAGAGAGCTATGTTTGCATTTTGGAATTCTGGCTCCAACTTATCATAAATATGTGTATAGGAAAATGTGTGTGTTTGTACACAGGCAACTGTGTGTGTTTATGTCTCTATAGGAAAATACTTAAATGTGACATCCATCACAGATCTGTTTTCATACTAAGCCCTCAAAAAGAAAATAGTAGGATTCAGAATGAGTTTGTGGTTAAAACTGTGCATTCTACAGTAGTTAACAAATTTCCAAAGTTTAGATTTTTGTTATATTGCTGGAGCCAAAAGTTTAATACTAAACAGTAGACAAAGTAGGATTGCAGAATTGATTTTCTAATAAATTATTTTATTGCTTGAAATGAAGACAGTATTCAGAAGATTCAGTGATTGTGAACACTGAGAGAGGTTTATACTTAAGGAGAAACTAAAAAAAAAAAATATGTATGCTGGAAGAGCCAAACATATGGTAAGATTACTCCTGCCTTGAATATAAAAGAGTAATGTAGAAAATAATATGAAAAAATAGACTTGTGGAATTTAAAATTCATTTTTGCAGTTGCCCAAGGCTGGTTTCATCCACTACTAGGCAATAGAAATCTAGTGAGCGATGCTAACGATAGAGTTACACTGCTTTACTTTCTGAAGACCTACTTACTGGCCTAAGTAAACAGTTTGGCTGCCAGAACTAAAAAATAAATTTAGCTCTGTGCCTGATGTAGTTTTGCAATCATATTTTTTATTATTTCATTATTCAGCCATTAAGAGACATGAGTTTGGAGGCTTTACTGACAAACACGCTTGCTTTCCTTATGTAAGAATCTTTGGTATTTCAGATTAATTGTAACATTAAGGGACCTATTAAGATAAACTCATGACATTGCTCTCAGCTGGGAAAAAACACACCTTTCTGAAAGGTCAAGGACACGCAGAAGGACAAGCTCTAGTTTATTTGCCCGCCTGCAGCTGAGCAGTGCAGCAGGTTCTACTGGCTAGTGAAATCCTGATCAGTATGCTATATTAGAGATGGAAATTTCTATGATCTGTAGAGTCATAAAAATCTCTCGTGGGAAGCAGAGGCCAGACCTTGAGAAAGAAGATGTTTGCCTGCCTAGGCTGAGCGATAAGGAGCATGGATGCAGCTGCTCAGCCTGGTTCACAGGCAGCCCCCTCTGGAAACCTGTTGAAGGTGGTTTCTCAATGGGGCTTGTAGCCAACATAACTGCAGATATGCTCTAAACTAGTTTTGAAGGTCAATCACCTGAGAGGAAAGAAGAGGAGGAGGAAGGCAGGGCCCTCGAATTGAGGGCTGGGACCCCCAACTGGTATGTGTGCCTGTGCATTCAGGTGGGGAGAGTTGCGCAACTTAAGGTGGAGTTTGTCCCTGCCTCAGCCTGCCTCCTGGGTTGTGTTGACCCTATGTGCCAGGATGCATTGGGCATAAAAGTGGACAGTGCGGAGAGAGCGGGGGGAGGAGAAACTCCAAACTCTGAGGCCTACGCTGTCTCCGCGGGAGCCGGTCAGTTAATCTCTCTCTCTGATCTGCCAGCTCGAGAGGATGTTTGGGTCCAGTATCCCGCCGGCAGGTATCACCTCGTGAGTAGTTATCCATACTTTGCTTCTTTTATGTGTTTTCACCTGAATAAATGCTCGATGTATTCACCTCCTTCTGACGTGATTATTGCCGAATCCCGAGCCCATCTGGAACACACGCGCAGTCTGTGCTCCATCATCCTGCTTGCTCTTGTATCCACAACTCAGGAACATAGCTGGCTTTAAGCAGAGTTGCTCAATGCCTTCTTTGCTTCGGTGTCTTGCCTGACTAACCTGATAGCCTTCTATGATGAAATGACCGGCTGGATAGACGAGGGGAGAGCGGTGGATGTCGTCTATCTCGACTTCACCAAGGCTTTTGACACCGTCCCTCACAACATCCTCCTGGGCAAGCTCTGGAAGTGTGGGATAGATGAGTGGACAGTGAGATGGATTAGGAACTGGCTGGATGGCAGGGCCCCGAGAGTGGTGATCAGCGGTGCAGAGTCTAGTTGGAGGCCTGTGGCTAGGGGGGGCCCCCCGGGGGCAGTCCTTGGTCCCGTCCTGTTCAATTTATTCATCAATGACCTGGATGAAGGCACAGAGTGCTCCCTCAGCAAGTTTGCTGATGACACGAAACTGGGAGGAGTAGCCGATACCCCAGAGGGCTGTGCTGCCATCCAGAGGGACCTGGACAGACTGGACAACTGGGCGGTGAAAAACCTCATGCAATTCAACAAGGCCAAGTGCAAGGTCCTGCACCTGGGGAGGAATAACCCCAGACCACCAGTACAGGCTGGGGACCGAGCTTGTGGAGAGCAGCTCTGCGGAGAAAGACCTGGGTGTCATGGTGGATGATAAGTTGACCATGAGGCAGCAGTGTGCCCTCGTGGCCAAGAAGGCTAATGGAATCCTGGGCTGCATTAAGAAGAGCATCTCCAGCAGGTCGAGGGAGGTGCTCCTGCCCCTCTACTCAGCCCTGGTGAGGCCGCATCTGGAGTATTGTGTCCAGTTCTGGGCTCCACAGTACAAGAGGGATGTGGAGCTGCTGGAGAGAGTCCAGCGCAGGGCTACAAGGATGATCAGGGGCCTGGAACATCTGCCCTATGAGGAGAGGCTGAGGGAGCTGGGCCTGTTCAGCCTGGAGAAGAGAAGGCTGAGAGGGGATCTAATCAGTGTATATAAATACCTCAAGGGAGGGAGTGCAGAGTACGGGGATGGTCTCTTTTCAGTGGTGGCCACTGATAGGACTAGAGGAAATGGCCGGAAATTGAAACATCAAAAATTCCATAGGAACTTAAGGAAAAATTTCTTAACAGTGAGGGTGACAGAGCACTGGAACAGGCTGCCCAGAGAGGTTGTGGAGTCTCCTTCTCTGGAGATCTTCAAAACCCGCTTGGATGCAGTCCTGTGCCACGTGCTTTAGGTGTCCCTGCGTATGCAGGGGGGTTGGACTAGATGATCTCTAGAGGTCCCTTCCAACCCTAAGCATTCTATGATTCTATGATTCTATGAAGAGCTCTGTCTGTAAAGGGTCTTTAATGCCTAGACTTCCAATGTGGATTTCTGTTCTTCTGTTCCTGTTGCGTTTATGAGATATTTAAACTTTTCATGCCTAAATTTTCAGGTTGAGCATTTCTCTTGCCTGTGGGGATTAATCTAGTAGTTGCTCTTGGGTTATGGGCTAGTGAACAAGTTCTCCTGCAGTAAGCCAGGGTATGTACAAATGCTGAATGTCAGGTTCCTCCTGCAAATCACAATGCAAGCTGTGTGAAAAATGTAAGGGAATTTATTTGATCTCATTTAACATTCAACAAGGCTAGTTTACTCTGAACTAACACTTAATTTAGAGTAGACAATATTCTGCAATTTGACACATGTACTAACTGCAATTCTTTGGTGTCTCCTGATAATGTACAGAGTACCAATTTCTGCTCGTCTGGATGCTCATTTGTAGTGAGCTGTGCAGCTGCAGAGGAGATGCACTCCAGAGTCCTGCTCTGCACCTTGCGTAGGTTGATATGTGATCAAGTTCCTCTTTCCAAGTGGGCAGGGGATGAACTGAGCCTACATGACCTGTATTCAGGCTAGCTGAATAAAGGTGACAACCAGAAGAGATGGTGACTCTTCTGTTTGAGAGGCAGTATTATCACCCAGATAATCTCACTGAAGAAAAGAGAAGGTAGATGTAAATTGGGAGGCCATGCATCTTCCATCCAGAAAACCCTCTCCTGAATTTGAGATTATCTGGGTGACAGACTGTCAACATAATTAAAAGTGAAATTCCTTGTGAAATGAAAGTCTACTGTTCCTAACAAAAGATGGGGTTTTTTTGAAACATTGAGTAACATTTTTAGCACGCTATTTCTAGCTCCAATCTTTTTTTGATTAAATTTAGCCAAAGGAAGAATGACAAACTCATATATATATATATATTAATCTTTATAGTGTAATCTAATGGAATAATAGTCTTTCATTTTCAAACCTAGTATGTGAAGCATAAAAACAGTTAGTTTTTAGTTACTATAAGTAATTTCAGAGTAACAAGTGTCTCATTTGTGGTATAATTTAAATAAATGAAGTAATATGAGTTTATCTTATTTTATGAAAGCCAAGATCTTTGTCAGTGTAATATTTATGTATTTAGAGTTTTCAAACTAGGGATTAGCCAGTTGACCTTGACTATCATTGACATGTGATAAGAATATAAAGCAGGAGATTCCTCTAGAGCAAACACATTAAAGAATCTGTCTAGCATGCAGTCTCCTACCTATGCATTTCATTATTAGGCAAAAAATATTAAAATCACAGCTAGTGAGATTGTTCTCTCAATTTAATTGCTAGCTTTGATTTTGTTCTGTGCTGTGACAAAATTATATCATAGAATCATAGAATCATAGTCATATCCAGATATGACAACGAATTACCACACTTAAATGTTTTCTTTCTAACTTTTTACAAATCTTTTCATCTGCTTTCAGCTCTCACCTCTATGAAGAGTTCATACTCATAAACATCATCCTTAAATGGTACAATCGTTAGCCTTGCATAGCAAGTTTCAAGGTTTGTAGTTCACACAGCTCTCTATAAATAGGCATTTATATGCAGTGATATGTGTTTTGATGCTGAGCCAAACTCTGAGCTTGGTTGCCTCAATATCACTTCACTCTGGACCTGTTCCTCTGGAAGTGCCCTGACATGACAAAAGTATAAATTGGAGTAGCTTGGGGTTCAGGGGACTTAATACATTATGAAAAGTCAGAAATATATGCAGCATTAAATATGAACAGAAGGGATGGCTTCTTTTCATTAGGATGGCTTTTTTTTTTAAAAAAAAAAAAAAGCATAGAGTACTTAGAAATGGTAGCCCTGTGAGGCACAGGGGAATGTGGTAAGTGCTGCCTGTAAAAGAAAAGAAAAATAACATACTGAAGGGGACAGTGAGTTACTTGATAATGCTGTAATAGGGAAGCATGGTATTGGGTGCAAGATAGAATGCAAATTAATGACAATGGCAGTTAAATCATTTTTAAAGAGGATATTATATGTCAACTTCTAGGTACGATACCATTTTTAAGCAGAAATATCAAATAAGAAATTTTTGTATAATAATTACATCAATAAACTCTTAACAGAATATTGTAATGGATGTAATAGAAAACAAGAAAAGATGTCCATGTTACTCTGAAATGACTTACTATTGCTATCCCTTCTTAATTGTATTATGAAATGAGGAGAGCATGAACACTTTTCTGCAAAAGGAGAATTCAAAAGTTGTAGAAGTAATATTTCACTTCCCCTGTTGTATTTTCCATGCTACATACAGAACAACAAGCAGAAACAAAGAGGAAAAGTTTCAGCACATATATGAGAAAAATAGTGCAAGAAATAGGCCTCTATACTTCCAGAATAGCAGAATTCTTTTTGGAAGAGATGGACTTCTATTAAAAAAAAAAATGCTTTTGTACAACCTGTAGAAGCCTAAGAAATATGACTGGGAGAATATGAATATATAGTTTCTAGTTTTGAGAAACAAAGGAAGCTAATGTGGTGAAGCAAGCATTTAAAGTTTTAAAGACAGCTCTTGAAAGAAACGGCATCCTTCAAAAAGTTTAAATTGTATCCAAATGGGAAAAATAAAGAACTATAAAATCTGAGAAGCTACATGTAAAAATGTTGCGAGACAGTCCAAAAACACAATAGGAACAAAGGTATGAAAGTATAAAATGTGGTAATAAATCTCTTCAGGATCACGAAGACACAGTGAATGGAGCCAGATAATGTGTACAAAAGGATCATTTAGCAGAGGTTTAGTGTAGGAGATTTTGGCGAGGCTCTTAGAATTTTCCTTGTAGGAGTCATGAAATTCTCTCTCAAATTTAAGTCATTATAGATGATATTATGAAATAGATAACATGAAGAAGGACAGTGGACAGAAGAATTCTAGGGGGACTCAGGGATTAAACCTTGCAGCAGCTGCAGAGTGTCTCAGAAAAGTTTCATTTCTTGTGTTTTAATTGTTGGAGAAAGTACGTATGTTTGTTAACTGTTTCCTAGCTGAGTGAGTCTGTTAGCTTGTGGCTAGATTTGAGATTAATACTTGTAGGGGCACTATTTTTAAAGGTCATAGCAGAAAATATTATTTCCTGTTGAAAATTAAAGAAAATGGTCGAAATCAGTTTTCTGTGAATGTGATGAGTTCATGTATGTTCTACTGAAATGATATTTTGATATCACCTAGATCCAATAGCAAATTTACCATTTTCTCCACGTGAACAGAAGTTGTCATTTGTGTGTTGCTCATGCTAACAGAAGAGGTTACTGAAGTAACAGGAATTTTCAAGGAAGCACTAAAATAAAAACAACTATGAAAAATAGGGTTTGTTTGCCACGCTTAAATGCTGTTTTGATGAAGTCTTCAGATATGTTAATATTGTACACAGTGTATTTCTCTGGAGAACTCTCTGAGAATTCTGAAATATTGTCTTTGTAGTAATATACTTTGGAGGCTGTAAGGGAAGAAGAAATGCTAAGTTTTTCTTCATCTTGATAGTACAGATAAGTTTCATGACCATTTGCTCTACCTTTTGTCAGATGTAAAGAGCATGGAATGCTCATGCTATTTATGTTTTTTTACGGCACATAAGCATATAAATATCATATGCATTCAATTTGCTATTACTTCACTTTAAAAAAGTTTGTCTTTTCTAAAATAATTTAAATACCAGAGGTTTTGGTATTGTCATTCAATTGTCAACATCAGTTTATAGATATTCATTTTCTTTAGAACAATGGAATTTTTTCTTGACATTAATTTGCACTTTATTTAGGTTGGTCCTTACAGAAGAAATACAAGATTTCTTCTGTGCAAGTCAGACTGTATAGAAAATGTGCGCTATTCAATGAAGGGAGGTAAAATCTAGCTAGTCAAGTTTAACAGATTTCTGGGTCAGACTTTACCTAACGATGAAAGAAATAAATGGCCAGTAGAGTGATAAAAGCACATTTAGTCTTGAATATTGAAGTATATTTTCTCATAATTCTTTCTTACATGTAGGTTTCTTGTGTCTTAGTCAAAATTTTCTATATGATA